TTTTCGTAGTTGGTTATTCTAAAAAATAAAGGTATGTGTAGTCGTATGGGTATTCCTGGTCTGCCTGCTCTATTGTGTCACAATAATCGGAAAGAGTTGCATGGTATTCGGTCGGGGTTTCCTCTTGAGTTTTTAGAGTTTGGTCGTAATCTTCGAGTGATGGTGATTCTTCTTTTACTTCCGTGGAAGTACCCGTAGCTGATTGAATATTAAAGTTCCTAGATTTTTTTGCTGTCTCGTTAATTGGATTTGGTGGTCTTTTGCCAGTGTCAAAGCGTCCTGGTTTATTCATATAATTTATCTGTTTGGTTTGTAGAGTCCTGTCTATGTCCATTGGTTCAGGTCGTGGTTGTGGCTTTGCGGCCAAAGGTCGAGGGGGTGGTTGGCTTCCTGAAGACCGGGCCGTTACATAGGGGCCACTTGTAAGTTCTGGTTGCCATTGAATGGTTGTCGGTGTAGATTATAATGTTGTCTATTTGAGTTGGGTTGTGCAAAGGGGGTCTGGAACTGGGCGTTCCCTGTAGGGATTGACCATTGTGGCCAAATTGGTACAGCTGGTTGCATTTGTGGCTCGAACCGTGAAGGTGCATTCTTAAAGGACGATTGTTGCCCTCTGTTGGTAGCGTGGTTAGCGCGGAATGCCTGATTCTCAAGCTTTAAGTATAGGTGCAATGCTGCCGGAAGGTCAGCAGGTTCTTTCATACCAAGTAGGCGAGATAAGTCGCCACGAAGTCCGCGTACAAAAGTGTCTAAGGCTTTGTCCCTATACATTTTGGTCATCAGTTGTTCTGCTTCAGGTCCTAATTCCATACAGCCAATTTTATTAAGTATCAGGGACACATGTTTGTAGACCGCCTGATGGAACTCTTCTACAGTTTGATTAGTGCCCTGGCTAATCGTCGTCATTTGGTACTCAAGGGTTCCTATATCCCGTTTACCTGCGTAATGGAGGGTTAGACATTTCGAGATAGCATTCCAATTTAATGGAATGTTGTAGGATTCCAATGCAGTGTCTGCATTTTCTCCCGTTATTTTGTTACGAATAGTGTGTAAAATACCAAAATATTTAGCCGTTCCTACAGTGTTTTCATATGTTTTTAGCACTCTACCGCCTCCTTTTTTCCAAGAACTAAATTCCGCTGGATTTCCTGAAAATTCTCGCAGTCTTTTTACTATGTCTGGTACCCTGTCTAGACCTTCGAGATTACCTCTATTTTCTAGAAAAATTTCTAGATTTGGGGCACATGCGAAATCAATCCCTGGATTTTGTGCTTGTCTTAATAAAACTGGTAATTGCTCTGCAAGTATTTGCCTGACGGCTGCCTGTAATTCTTCTGCTGCCATGTTATACCTGTGTTGTTGTTGTTGAATTTCTAGTCTCTGAAGTTGCTGAACTAAATGAATTTGGTTTGGATTTACTTGCTGTTCTAAAACTGCGTTGGGTTCTTCTGCTGGCTGTTGTTGTTCAAAATTGATAATGGGGGGTCTTATGAGATTTCGCTGATTGGCCATTTGTTTTTTTAAAGAAGGGGAATATTCACATGTGTGTCTTACGCATTAAAGTAGTTTTCATTTCAAATATAATAATATTAATGTGAAATTAAATGGTAAAGGTAAAATTGTTGGGGGAAAAATTTTTTCAAATTCTTAATATAATTTCTTAAATTGTAGTTTAAAATTTGAATGTTTTTTTTTAATTTTAATTTGGTGCAATATTATTTAATTTTAATTTTGTGCAATATTATTTATGTTTGATTTTATTTGTATTTCAATTTTTAAATTTAATTTTAATTTAATAATTCGAGTTTTATAATTTTTAGATTCAAATTTTAATTTAAACTTTACGGCTTTTATTTATTTGTAATTGGTTGCAAAAATTTTTAATTTATATTTTTGATTTAGTTTGGTTTCTTATTTGTTTCACTTAATCACTATTTTCACTTAACTTAACTTTGATGTGGCTACTTCTCCTGGTGGTCCGGATGTCTTCCTGTTTGTTGCCTACTGAGGATCCTGCAACGCACACGAATAGAGAATGTCCTGCGGGCTTGCCTGACAGTACTTGTAGTCCACCGATGGAATAGCAATTATATTGCCGACCGGTTGTCGTCCTCAGCTTCAATTTTATTATGAAGGAGTTCCTCTGATTCTGACCTGAGGGGGCCAGCGGAGTTGCACTTAATAATGTTCCGCACTGATCGAACTTAATCAGATGTCCCCGCGTAGCACTTTAAAGTCAACGGAGTTGCACGGATTTATTAGCACTGATCGAACTTAATCGGATTTACTCGCGCTGGTCCCTGTTCGGGCGCCAGTTAATTTCCAAATAATTAAAACTTCAAAAATTGGATTAAGATGTCTTATTTATTCGAGATACAAATTGGAACTACTCTACTCTACATAGCGATCCCTATTTAAAGCTGTGGGTTGGGGCAGCGACGTTGGCTTCGGCGGCAGCGGCGCTGGCAGCGGCGTTGGTAGCGTTGACAAAATTGCTTGGTTGCAGAATCTGCAGGGTCTGCAGAATTCGTATTCCGTACTTAGTTGCGGCTGACCGGATGCTCGTGTTTATGTTATTGAATTTTATGTTATTGAACTTTATGTTATTGAACTTGGGCTGCAACTTTGTGCTTGACAAGTTGCAATATTTTCGGAGAAAAATATGCGGAAATATTGCTGTTGTTAACTTATATATTCTTGATCAGCATCACTAGACGAGTCGATCTAGCCATGTCCGTCCGTTTCTACACAAACTAGTCTCTCAGTTTTAAAGCTATCGGTCTGAAACTCTCCCAAAAGTCTTCTTTCTTTTGCAGGTAGTGTATACGTCGGAACCAGCCGGAAAAAATGATCTTTGTTGTTTTTATACCCGTTACTCGTTGAGTAAACGGGTATACTAGATTCGTCGAAAAGTATGTAACAGGCAGAAGGAAGCGTTTCCGACCCCATAAAGTATATAAATTCTTGATCAGGATCACTAGCCGAGTCGATCTAGCCATGTCCGTCTGTCCGTCTGTCTGTCTGTCCGGATGAACGCTGAGATCTCGGAAACTATAAGAGCTAGGCTATTGAGATTTGGCGTGCAGATTCCTGAGCTTCTTACGCAGCGCAAGTTTGTTTCACTCTAACGCCCACAAACGACCCAAAACTGTGGCTCCTACAGTTTTGATGCTAGAATAAAAATTGTAACTGAAGTGTATTGCTCTTATCGAAACCTATCGATTGACCCAAAAAAAAGTTTGCCACGCCCACCTTAACGCCCACAAACCCCCCAAACCTGTGACGCCCAAAACTTTCATGCTAGATGAAATGTATTCGTCTCGTCAATACCTATCGATTGATCCAAAAAAACATTTTCCACGCCCACTCTAAAGCCCATAACGCTTAAATCGGTCTACCGCCGGTAGGTGGCGTATTTTAATCTCGCTTTGCTGCTTGCATATCTCCATTTACCTTTGGTCCCTTTAGCTGAGTAACATGTAAGCTAATACGCTTGGAAATAACATTTTTTAATTAGTTCTGAGTTTTGAAACTAATTTTATCAAAATCTGACGACTATATCATGCTAATTTTATCAAAATCTGACGACTATATCATGCAGTTGCCATAGGAACGATCGAAAAAATGGTGGAAAAATAATATGAAACAAAATATAGCTTTGGTGTTTTTTAACATGTAACTTCATACGCTTGGAAAACCCATTTTTTATTTAGTTTTGAATTCGTATTTAATTTTATCAAAATCGGAAACTATATCATATAGATACCATAGGAACGATCGGAAAATTGGTGTGAAAATAATATGAAACAAATTATAGCTTCGGTGTTTTTTTATTATCTTGTACTATTGGGAACAACATTTCTTGCATTTTTAAATTTAATAATTATAACTGCAAGGGTATACAAGCTTCGGCTTGCCGACGCTAACTACGACCGATATTCACTCGGCACCTCAGGCTACCTGTAAGATTGATCTCGCACAAGTGCACTGAACGAATAGAACACTGCTAATCTAAATTTTTGCGACCACGATTTCACTCATTAATTCTTGTAGATATTTTTCCTTCACATTTCTTTCCGGCTTTTACTTTTCTCAACTCTCATTCTTTGCTAATTCTTCCTTTTTTTTAAGCCACTCACATTTCTTTTTCACTTTGCCACTAATGTACTCACATAATTAAAACAATAGCTCCTTGGAGGTTCTTCATCATCGTCCCTTTTTCCTGTCCAACGGTGAGTCCGGCTGCGCCAGTTACCAGTGGTGGGTTGAAGCTTAAATGATGATGGTAACACAGAAGAGTATTTTTAGTAGATATTCATTTTATTTTGTAGATAAGACATAAGAAGTGGCAGGTTTTATTTTTGATGATCCTGTCGGGGTCCTCTCTCGGCAATTTCCCTTTCGCTGGGTCCTAGTAGTCAACTCTCGTCTAATATGCTTGTTGGGTATATTTTTTAATAATTGTTTGGGAACAAACCTATGTATAGGTGAAGGGGTGTGGGAAGTTGGTTATTGGAAACTCTGGCTCCTTATTATTACTTATTAGTTTTCAACGCAGTGTTGGAAACGTTTCCGTCTCCAAAAAGTATTTACATATTCTTGATCAGCACCACTGGACGAGTCTATAAATCCATGTTTGTCTGTCCGTCGGTCTCTTTATTTCTACGAAACCTTCCCAAAAGTCTCATTTTTATTGCAGGTTGTATTATAGGTTAATACAAGCCGGATCGGAAAACTTTGTCCTATAGGTTCAATAGGAAAAATCGAAAAAATATTGAAACATTTTTTTTAAATTATTGCATTGGTGTTTTTATACCCGTTACTCGTAGAGTAAAAGGTTATACTATATTCGTCGGAAAGTATGTAACAGGTAGAAGGTAGCGTTTCCGATCCTAATACCCCCTTCCCATACAGTCCATCCGTTAGAAACGGTTGGGATTTTTGACAAATGTGAAACTCCGATTCCCACAGGGCACATCCACCATCTACCATCCGACAACAGCTGTCAAATCAGCTGAGGCTTATAAAAACACAAGCAAAAATTGTTAAAGTGGATTTTGCCAGACCAAAATGAACAATTTACCAACTATTTTGGCTGTTGTACAACAGCAAAATCTTAAGTTGAATCAGCTTTTATTGGCAGCCAATTCAGAGGAGTGGAATGACGACGAATTGGATTTGTACGAAAGCATTTTTTCTGCAAAAGAGCAAATGCCACGAAGTGTGTGGATGCTGGTACGTGCTCTTAAAATGTATTAAAAATACGATTAAAGAATGCGAGTTATGTTAAACAGAAACGATACGGGACATTTTGGGAGAAGGATATACCGGAAAACAACGACGAGTTCTTCAAAGAGAGCTTTCGTATGGAGAAGGAGATCTTTACGTTTTTGGTGGACCGACTTGGTGTTTTGCGGAAGAAGGACACCAGCTGGCGAAATGCCATTCCTCTTGAAAGGCGGATTTCTATAGCCTTGTACACCTTGGGATCATCAGCAGAATATCGTTCCAAGGCTTTTTGGAGTTGCACAGAACACTGTGTGCAAAATTCTCCACGAATTTTGCCGTGCACTCATTTTTGAGTTTGCCAGCGAGTTCATGTCACCGGACTATCTTACTCCAGAAAAAGTGGACGAGTGTGTCAAAGGATTCGAAGCAATCGGATTTCCCCAGTGTCTAGGTGCAATTGGTCAGACATAAATTCATTAAATCAGTTCATGGTCTTAGCAATGTATAATGTGTAAGTGGTTGTCACATCGAAATAAAACCGTCAGCAGCAGAAGCAGTCGATCACCACAACTACAAAGGCTGGTACTCAATACTACTATTCGCTCTCGTGGATTACAGGTAAGCTGCGTTCTTCTAAGAGCTCAAAAATGTTCTAAGCGCATTGTATTTTAAATTTACTACAGATACAGATTTACCTATGTAAACATCGGCTCTGCTGGGCGCTGCAACGTCTCCATTATATTTCAAAAGTCGAGCCTGGCAAGGAAAATGGTGTCTTCTTCGTTTCTTCACGAAATAAACAAGGGAAATTTGTGGCGTTCAAGGTCCGGTGCTGCTTATTGGGGACTCTGCCTTTAGATTTTCCCAAACGCTGAGGAAGCCGTACCCATTTTCCACAACTGCATCTGAAGAACAGCGAAATCTTAACTACAATCTGTCTAAAGCTAGGCGAGTGGTAGAAAATGCATTTGGCCATTTGGTTTATTGGGAAAGGTCTTGACAGCCACTACAAGAATAATAATGAAGCCATTCTAGCCTGCTGCATTTTGCACAACATTTTAAATGAGCACAACAGCGCTATAAATGAAACTTGGCAACAGGCTGCAAATGACCTACGCGAACAACCAAATCGGACTAATATGTCTGCAGGTTTTAGCCAACCTGCAGAAAAAATAAGAGCAGCTATTTCCCAATATTGTCTAAATGGTAACAAACAAAGTTCATAAAATCACTGTGGACGGCAGTACACGTAGTGGCGAAGCGCGCAAGAGAGCGTGCGAAGACAACTACTATATATAGCCGCAGAATTGAAAATCTGCAATTATTGTCCGATCATAACGAGTGATACACCAATCGAAAGGTATCGCACTAACTAAGAAGATTGCATACCAAGACTTTCAAAACATAGATTTGTTTGGGAGAAAAAGCGGTGAAAGTGTAAAAGTAAAAATTTAGAAAATTGGAACTGCTAGATACGGTGTGGATAAAAGCCCCCGGCTGTTTAACTAGTTTTCTTACTGAGAATACGCGTCGAATGATACCTCATTTGTTGAAATCCGATGTTCCGTTCAAAAGTAATTCAAGAAACAAGATTTTCTTCTTCTTCCCAAAATGAAAATGTTTGTCCCTTTGTTTGTGGGTTTGTATGCATCCCATCTTTGTTTAAGGGTTTTGGAAACCCTATGGGTGTATAAAGTAGCTTGAAATAGGAAACGTTTGTTCTACGTCTTTTGGGAAAACCCACTAGTTTAGCGGAAAATCAAAAAAAAAAAGCCAGATTTAAAATGCTTATAGTAGCTAAACAACTAATGCTACAGAAACGTGCTATATATCCCTGAAAATACTCTAATTACTTTTCATATAGTAAAAATGTCTGAATATAATAGATTTAGAGCTATGACAAAAAGTTATTTTTTAAAGCCACTTTTTGACTATTTTCTCAAAATTGAATCGAACGATTTCTTTTTAATTTTTAAATCATTTAGCCCTTAAAATTCCTCAACTTTTGATCTATGAAACTTTTTGCCCTAAAAATTACCGTTTGGAAGATATTAAGCGATAAATAGTGCAACTCGTTTCAGCTCCGTATACGAAATATTTTATACTTATTGGCAACAAGAAACAAGAAAAAAACCAATTTTATGAAAAAATTCTTATTCGATTTTTTCAAACGGAAAATCTGTTATGGTTTTAGGGTCTTTTACTTGCATGAAGCTAATCAAAATAGGAAACTTGATCTTTTTGTTCTACCACTTTGGAGTAACCCTCTAGTTCGGCGGGAAATATAAGAAACGACAGGTTTCTCTTGGAATCTGAAACTATACTGCCCTTGAGATTCCAAACTTGTGCTGTTAAAATAGGTAATTGAAGTGATAAAACTTTTTATAAAGTATAAATATTTTAATATTCATGGGGGCGACTCCTAGTAATGGTATTGGGGTACTTAAACTCTTGTGCAAAAAACTTCTGATATCAAACAAAAACACCTCTTAACGAGGTAAAAAGTAGTGGCGAAAGCGCTCTTAACAAAAATTTCTGATATCAACAATTGTGACGAAAAATGATATTATATTCGATAAAATAAATAAACTATATTAAATTGATGTATTCGGCACGCTACAGCAGAAAATTTACGTGTAGGTAAATAAATATTTACTGTTGCGGGCCGAAATCATAAATTTAATATAGTTTATTTATTTTATAGAATATAATATCATTTTTCGTCACAATTGTTGATATCAGAAATTTTTGTTAAGAGCGCTTTCGCCACTACTTTTTACCTCGTTAAGAGGTGTTTTGTTTGATATAAATCTGTTTGTTTTTATTTTATTATAATATCACATTTTATTTGGTCTATTTATTATAAATTATAAAATTATTAGGAATTTGTTGATTTTCTTAACAGATCCAACAAATCCGACTGGAATTTTGCTTGGCTGTCTGCCATTCTCGACAATATTTCTGTCTGCGCTCTCTGCTCCTCCAGTCTTTCTCAAGCTATCTCCACAAGCTCCGACTTGTGGTCCACCTTTGCGCGCTTAGCAGGGGGCGCAGTGCTGCCTGAGCGTTGACTGCCGCTGCAGGTAGAGGCTTCCCTGTCATCTGAGACTACATCCAAGAGCTCCACAAAGTATTCCCTAGTATCTGCAATAAATAAATTTGTTTAGATAATTTTAAACCAAAAATATAAGTATGGGGACATACTCTCGTTCTCCAAGGTGTTCTGCTCCATGTTGTAGATGCGGTATGCGCCTAAAAACGAGTGGACCAACTGATAATGCTGCCACGAGGAAGGAGCGCCACCGCTTGGCCCCATTTTACTTTTTTCCTGCCTGCAAGGAAAAGTATCGTTGAGTGGATTTCCAATATGTTGTTGCGCTAATATAAGTTACCTGTAATTTTTGGTCAGGTTCTCTATTTTTGTTCGGACGTCCTTGTAGGACACATCAATCCCAGCATCCATTAGGGTCTGGGCCATCTCCATGTATATATGGACATTTTTTCTAGCTCCCCGCAACTCCTCGATGTTCTCCTGCCAAATATCGATGAGCAGGACCTCCATCTGCTTAGTCCACCTCAGTTTGCCACCGGCAGTTCGCGTGTTATTGACTGTAAAATTAAAAGCAATAAATTATTAAAAATATAAAGAGCATTTATGTTTATACCTATTGCTTTGTCGCCTTCCATTTTTAAAAGTTTCCCGTCATCATTGTTTACGTTTTCGTAGTGAATTTTCCACTTTCCACTTTCAAGAAGAAAAGTTTAGGGCTTCCACCCAAAATTATCGCCTAACTATCGCATAAAATAGTCCGTCATATTTGGATAGGGAACTAACTGGGAAATTTTCGGAATGGCAAAACCTTATGGAGCATCCGTTCAACGGATGGTAGATGGTGGATGAATCTCTGTGGGAAGACCCTATAAAAGTGGATTTATTCTTGATCAGAATCACTAGCCGAGGAGATCTAGTTATGTCCGTGACAGGACCGACTATATAAATGCTGAAATCTCCAAAACTACAAAAGCTAGAAAGTTGGGACTTGGCATGTAGATTCTTGAGCTTCTGGGACAGCGCAAACTCAATTCACGTAATTCACGTGCCATGCCCACTCGTACGCCCAAAAACGCTCCACACTAAAACCAGTCTATTACTCACATTTGTGAAGATTTTGTAGGTGGCGCTATTGCGGGGTGTGCAATATTGGAAAAATCGCCTTGCTGCTTGCGTACCTTCACCTCCATCGAACTCCCCCTAAGTGAGTAACGGGTATCTGATAGTCGAGGTCGCCTATAACGTTCTCTCATGTTCATTTTATCAAACAAAAACACCTCATAACGAGGTAAAAGTCTAGTGCCGATCGCACTTTCAGCAAACAAAAGTTCTGATATCAACTTTTGTGACTAAAATGTATTATACGATCTACTAAATAAATACCATTTTTTTACGTGGTACATAGACAAATTATTTTAAAAAGGCGTACAAAGCTTTTAAAAATACCCTTCTAACAACATATAGCACAAGCCTGTAGCTTTAGTCGTACACAAGTTACGGGTGTAAGAAATTTAGCTATTTATAGCTGTTTTCTCGCCAAATTTGTCCAAAAGTGGTAAAAGTAAAGTTTCTTCTAGAAACTCTGGGAAGTCTCTTCCCAGGACCTTCAAATAGAGTTTGGATACGCACAAAAAAAGGTCAATGCTGTTCTGAACTGGTAAATGTGGGCATTTTTGATTAATAACTTTGACACGAGACTTTTTACAACAATGTGTCATATGTCAAAAGTTGAGGAATGTCAAGGGCTATACACCTTGGAATTTAATCTAAGATCGTAAGAGCCGTTTTTCAAGAATCTGAAAAAATTGGAAATAATCTATTTAAAAAAAACTTTTGCCCATAATTTTAAAACAGTGGTATTTAGACAAACAACGTTAGAAAGGCGTAACAAAGCATTTCAAAATACCCTTCTAACAACATATAGCACAAGCCAGTAGCCTTAGTAGTTCACAAGTTACGAAATCTAGGTATTTACAGCTGATTTCTCGCCAAGCTAGCTACTTTTTACAAAAGTATTAGAAGTAAAGTTTCTTCTATAACCTTCAAATAGAGTTTGGATACGGACAAAAAACGGTTATTGCGCTCAGTCAGTGTAAGATGTTCTGAACTGGTAAATGTGGGCATTTTTGTTGATTACTAACTTTGACAAGAGACAGCAATGTGTCGCATGTTAAAAGTTGAGGAATCTCAAAGGCTATAACAAGGGCTACAATTTAATATGAATTTGTCAAAGCAGTTTTTGAGGAATCAGAAAAAAGTTTAAAAAAAATCCAATCAAAAAAAAATTTGGCCCATAATTTTTAAACGGTGGTATAAAGACAAATTATGTTAGAAAGGCGTATAAAGTATTACAAAGTACATTTCTATCGATATACAGCACAATCAAGTAGCTTTAGTAGTTCACAAGCTACGGGTGTACAAAACCTAGGTACTTATAGCTGTTTTCTCGCCAAACTTGCTAGTTTTTCCAAAGGTGGTGAAACTAATGTCTAGTATTGAGCTGTTCAACATCGTCCATAATTTTCGGGACTCTAAAGTAAAGTTTTGGGACAAGCTGACAAACAAAATCATATTTTCAATTTTAGAAGGGCCCCAAAATCGGAGCATCCGATCTTGACAGTTAAGGTGTCATTTGACGCCTATTTTAAGTTAGAGTACAAATAGGTGAATAGCGGGGGGTATTTATCTCCACCGGCCCCAACAGATCAAATTTTCAAAATTTTCACGTTTACACTTTCACTGCTCTTTCTCCCAAACCAATTTATTTTTTTTAAGTCTTGGTACGCAATCCTTTTAGTTTTTGCAATACCTTTCGATTGATGTATCACTCGAAACATTCGGACGATTACATTAGACTTAAGAACCAATTTTGTCCCAATTTAAATATGCGTTTCCGTTGTAAATAGCGCAGTAATTAACACTTGTAGCGTTAGGAAGCATAACAAAATAAATAATTATAATAATAGTCCGCCTTCGCTCACCCTCCTGGTAAGCTATTTTCCGTTTAATTTACAATCTTTATTTAGAAATCCGTTTCGATAACTTAAGTTTATTTCTGTTTAAAATTATTATATTTATTATTTAGAAATCCGTTTGGATTACTATAAATTATTATTGTTGGAATTTATCGCGGAATTTGTTTGGATTCTTTGTAAGTCTGTTAAGAACTAACTAAAGCTAACTTAAGTATTCTATAAGAAAGCCAGGC